CTAGATGGACTTGTGTCTTTTTTCAGCCAGACTAACCATGTACAGTAACTATGCATATGTAACTATCTAGTCCACATAACAACTTCTATCACTTAGTTCACCTTTGTAAGGCTACGTTCACACTAGCGTTGTGTGCAGGCGGCAGAGAGGCGTTTGGGAAGCGTTTTTACCACTCCCAAACGCCTCTGCTAATTCTGCACATTGCAGCACATGATGCTGTTCTAACTGGAGCAGTAGCGTCGCGGCAAAACAGACACCTCTGGTCGAGTCAGGAGGAGTTGAAGCCTCCTATTCTAGCCTATGGTGCCGCTCCGCAAACGCCCGGCTGGCGTTTGCGCAGCGGTAGCACCATTCAAACTTCATTATAGGCGTTTGTGGGGCGTCTTTAACGCTCGGCAAATGCCTAGCAACCTCCGCTAAACCGCGCATGCGGCAATTGCAGAGCATTTGCCGAGCGTTAAAAAACGCTCCGCAAACGCTGGACCAACGCTTGCCAAATGCTATAGGGGCGTTTGGCAAGCGTTGGTAAAACAGCCAAGTGTGAACGAGCCCTAACTTGTACAACTAATAGTCCCCAGCAAGGTCTTTACTTACAATTCCTAGCAGCTGTCTGCCTTCAAGCCTCCACAGGTAGATCCTCAGTGAGGGAGATACAAAAATCCATCTCCAGTCCAGGACTTTAGGACAGTGCCCTCTAGCAAATAACCATTTAGCAATCTTCTCCAGACCTTCAGCCCAGCTCCTGCTAAATCCCAGAATGCAATCTCTTGACTCTATCCTAGGGGCAGCAGCCCTCAGGGGATTGGAACCCTACCTGAATAGGAAAGAACACTCTGTTCAAGCATCCTGCACATTTGTCATCTCCCCAGGCCACTTTCTAAATGCCTCCTTCCAGGGATTGGTTTGGGCATAATGAATAGTCAGCAGATCATCTGATCAACCCTGGGAGGAGTCAGTGACATCACGCCGTAACTCGGAAGTGTGCAAGTGGCCATCTTGTTGGACGTTTTCCCCACTGTAATGCCTGATATTGCAGTGTACCAGCTGTTTTGTACACTTTTTAAGCAAAGCACAAGCATTTTTTTTATAAAAATTATTCATTTGTAGGAGAGACCACTATGTACTCTTCTTATATTGCCCTGGGCCAAAGCAGTATAGTGGATGGAACTGGATTGTAGAGCTTTTAAATACTGTAGTGAAGATTGTTGCTGTGGCTTATAAGAACCCCATGTAAAGTGGAAGGCACATATGACCTAATATATGTTAGGTCTACTCATAAGGCGAGAGCATAAGTATTATGGTGATAGGATGTGCATTTTTGATAAACTATATATTCTAAAGTCACTGTCAGAAGTGTGAAGATATTGAAGTGAGAAGGTTTAAAAAGTATTGTTGATACATCTTGAGAACACATGTAATGAAAAATGTTTAAATTGGTACACATGAACACTATCGGGCTATTTTGTAGAGACCCTGTGAATTTAAAGGATACATACACAGACACCTTGTTTTTTCATCTTTTACTTTGTCATTTATGGATGATTTTTGAGTCTGGTTTTATTTCACAATATTTTTTATAACTTCTGGTTTAACCAGTGTGGAGCGCAGGCTACACTCAACCCCAAGACCAGAAGCAGGCCAGGAAGCCTGGCAAACCCGTCCTCTTGGTCTGCACAACCAGTAATGGGAGAACAGCATCAGTGGTCCTGGCCCCCCTGCCCCGGCACTGAAAACAGGGAACCCGTAGCTACCACCTGCCAGTAAGAGGAGGTATCGTGCTGGGCACAAGAAGAAGGTACAGCAACATTCATTTGGCCAGAGTCCATAGAATGCACAGCACATAGAGACCCAAAGCTTCCACATCGGTTACGAGAAACAGGTTAACCCCCCATCTGGAGGAAACACTAATAATTGAGGTGGAGGCCTAGAGGACCGCTGTCACAAGTTAGCCTGCAGCCTCCTGTTGCTTTGTCTTACCTCCTTGCTGTTTGTGTTCCCTTCACATGTGTGTCTCTCTCTACTCACCTATGGGCGTTTTCTGCTATTCCCTGGGTTTTATGTTCGTCCCTTTCATCACTACCTGGCCGGGGTACAGTGCACCTGTGCCTTCCTGCAGCGTTATTACTGGTGGCCCTCACTGCGTAAGGATGTTGAAGAGTATGTCCAGGCTTGCTCCATTTGTGTGCAGTCTAAGTCCTCCACATCTGCTCCAGCAGGTCTCCTTTTACCTCTACCAGTTCCAGATGAACCTTGGTGTTGCATTTCCATGGACTTTATTTCCGCACTTCAACCTTCAGCTGGTTCTACTGTTATCTGGGTGGTTGTGGACAGGTTTTCTAAAATGTGCCACCTAATTCCACTTCCGGGACTTCCTTCGGCCGTCACGTTGGCCTCCAACTTCATTAAGGAAATCTTCTGTCTTCACAGTATGCCTTCTCACATCGTTTCGGATAGAGGAGTTCAATGTACTGTGCGCTTCTGGAGGGCTCTATCCACGTCCTTCGGTGTCGAGTTGGACTTCTCTTCAGCTTTTCATCCGCAGTCTAGTGGCCAAACCGAAAGGGTCAACCAGAACGTGGAACGCTATATTCGTGCTTTCATTTCGGCCCATCAGGATGATTGAGTAGACCTTCTACCATGGGCAGAGTTTGCCCTTAATAACCATGCCAGTACTGGTGAGTCCCCCTTTTTCATGATGTATGGTCATCATCCTTCGGTGCCATTTCCTGTTCCTATCTCCTCTATGGTACCCGCGGCTGCAGATAAACAAAGATCATTGAATTCCATCTGGGCAGAGGTTTCTAAGAATTTACATCTGGCAGCTTCCAAGTACAAAGCAGCTTCAGATCGCCATAGCTGCGTGAGTCCCAAATTCCTCCCTGGTGACAAGGCTTGGCTCTCTACCAAGAATATCCATTTACGAGTACCCTCTATGAAATTTGCTCCTCGTTTCATTGGTCCGTTTACCATCCTCCGCCAGGTCAATCCTGTTACTTTCAAGCTTCGTCTCCCTTCACATCTTAGAATCCCTAATGTTTTCCATGTTTCTCTTTTGAGACCATATATGATCAAATCGTCATCCTTCCCCAATAGCGAGTACTTCAGATCAGTATGAAGTCAAGCAAATCTTGGATTCTAAGTTCATCAGAGGGAAGCTTTTGTATCTTATTGACTGGAAGGGATATGGTCCTGAGGAGAGGTGTTGGATTCCTTCTGCTGATGTTTCTGCACCCGTCTGGTAGAATTTTGTTCATCGGAGGTTTCCCCTTAAGCCTGGCCCTAAAAAATGGGGGAGGCATCGTAAGGGGGGGGGGGGGGGTACTGTCACAAGTTAGCCTGCAGCCTCCTGTTGCTTTGTCTTACCTCCTTGCTGTTTGTGTTTTCCCTTCACGTGTCTCTCTCTGCTCACCTATGGGCGTCATCTGCTATTCCCTGGGTTTTATGTTCTTCCCTTTCATCACTTCCTGGCCCACCTCCTTGTCTGCCTGTATATTTAAGACATGCTCAGTCTGTCCCACATTGCCTGAGCAACGTTTGTTGTCTGTGCTCCCCAGTGTTCTTCCAAGTATCCAGTCTAGTGTTTCTGTGTACCGATCCCGGCTTTGTCCCTGACTTCTCTCCTACATCGTCCACCTGTGTACTGACCCCGGCTTCGTTCCTGACCTTGCTTGTCTTCCGCCTGTCCTGACTTCGGCTTGCCTTCTGGATCTCCTAGTCTACTCCCATTGCACCCTGCTCCCACTAGTGGTCTCTTTTACCACAGCTGGGTGTACCTGGGGGCCGCGACCTAGTTCCAGCCTGCTCCAAGTCCATCCCCACCATCAGGGGCTCTGGTGAACAAGCAGGCTGGGGCTTAGACTCCGCGCCCTGGGGAACACCAAGCTATGGATTAAGAGCTCACCACCACAGGTGCTGAAAACCGCCTATTAAGTGTTGGGGATTAACCTGTTTCCTGTCCTGGTAGGAGCAGCTCTACATCTCATGAGCTGTTCTGGAAGATGACTCAAGGAAAAACAAAAAAAAAAGACTTACCATAAGATCTGGACATACTTTTGCAGAAAGGAACAATTGGAATCCCATGTGCCCGATCTCACCAGATGTCCTGCAGACTGGCCTCAGCAAGGGTTTAAGTTCCAGTAAACTAAACGTCTGTGTTTTGGCAACCTCAGCTCTTGCAAATGTTAAAAGGGTGGTGGACCCTATAGTTCCCCAGTTCATCAAGACTGGTGTCAAGATCAAGCCATTGAGAAAATTTCCCTTCCCCAAACAGAACCTCTCAATATTTTTATAAGCTCTTTCAAAATCTCCTTTTTATCCTTCAGAATCAGACTCACATTGGGCGATAACCCTGAAGACAGTGTTCCATGTGGCCATAACGTCACCCAAGAGGGTGTCTGAAACTCAAGCTTTTGGCCATCAAAATCCCTATCTCATATTGTTCCCAGATAGACTCACCTAAAAACTATTTGCAAAATGTATCCCTAAAGTGGCTTGCTGTCTTCATTTCAGTCAGCATGTTGTACTTCCTTTGTTGCTAACCTCCATGGGAAATCCTCATCCACTGGATGTGGTCCTGTAGCTTAACCACTAGCCTACAGGGCACTTATACCCCCTTCCTGCCCGGGCCAATTTCCATTTTCAGCACTGTCACACTTTGAATGACAATTGCGCGGTCATGCACCCATATGAAATTTTTATCAGTTTTTTGAGACAGATAGAGCTTTCTTTTGGTGGTATTTAATCACCTCTGGGATTGTTATTTTTTTCTTAAACAAATCAAAAACCACTGAAAATTTAGAAAAAAAGTTTTTTCTTAGTTTTTGTTATACAATTTTGTAAATAAGTGATTTGTCTCCTTCACTGATGTGCGCTCATGAGGCTGCAGTGATGGGCACTGATAGGCTGCACTGATGGACACTGATAGGTTGCACTGATGGGCATTGACAGGCATCACTGATGGGCACTGAAAGGCAGCACTGATACATGACATTGATATATGGCACTGATAGGCAGCACTGACAGGCGTCACTGACTGGCACTGATGCGCGCTGATAGGTGACACTGACTGGCACTGATGGGTGACATTGAAAGGCAGCTCAGATGGGCACTGATATGTGGCATTGATGTGCACTGGTATGCACTGATATGTGGCATTGATGTGGCACTGATGGGCACTGACAGGTGGCACTTCTGGGGCCACACTTATCATCAGGGTACACTGATCATTAGTGCCCTGATGATCAGTGTACATGTCCCCTTCACGGAAAGCCGATTACCGGCTCTCCTCTACTCTCGAGCTGTCAGCGTGACCGCTCGAGAGGAGAGAAATGCTAATAACCAGCATTTCCGTGTTTACATGTAATCAGCTGTGATTGGACACAGCTGATCACATGACCATGCCGACATCTTCAGCACTTTCCATGATCCGCTGTGTCCGAGGGACACAGCGCACCGGCGATCACCACGCTGTGCGCTCCCTGAGCTGTGCATGCGCAGTGAGAATGGTAGGACGTCATATGACGTCCTATCAGAATGAGAGAACCACCTTGCGCCCGTCATTATACTATAGGGTGGGCGGAAGGTGGTTAAGCAGTATCTATTGGCCACGTCTCTCTTCAGAAATTCAAAGATACTCTTTGTAGTTAGCTGCTGATAATTACAAGGGAGCAGCGTAGCACTGTCAGCCTGAAATAGGAGTGCTGTTACTAAGAGGATCTCCAGGCTAAGAAAAAAAAAAGCAAAGATTTACTAAAAAATATTTGATATAGTAAGGTATGATACTAACGATACTGAAAAACAGATTTTAAGTTTACATACAATTTTTAAAAATAAGAATAAACTCTCTGGTAAATATTATTTTAATGATGAGGGCAGACTGGTGACTTAAAGTAGAACTAATAGGGCCATTTTTTTTCCTATTAAGAGTAAGGGAGGGATATAACACCTGTAAGGTTTATTTTTGCCATCTTTGTCCCATTGGGCAGATTTAACTTTACTTCCTGTCCCATAGCCATAACAGGAAATTAGAGGAAATCCCTGCAAATTAAGGGAATTTCTTGGGGCCCCCCAGGTCACCAGAACTAGTGTCCCCAATGGAAAATTTCATCTCTATTACTTTTCTGGGGACAACCTGAAATTTGGGATCTTTATTTACCATCACTTTCAATAATATTGCAAACTGGACAAATAGACAGGGTGAATCTCCCTAACGAGGACACAGACAGCAATAAAAAACTGACAGGCGTTCTAATTCCTCTCCCCTCTATCCAAAACATTTTGCCTTTAGTTATACTTTAACTGGTTGCATTTAGGAAGTTTGCGGATAAACCCGGTAGTGTTTATGGTATCTGCACTTCCAGCATTGACTGACCACCTCTTAAAGGGATCCAAAGCAAACCCAATCAAAACACAACACATTCCATTTGCCATATCTTAAGGGGGTAAAAAAAAAAAAATCTGAATCTTGGACTGCCAGCATAAATCCAACTTAAGCTTTTTCTACAGTACTTTGTGAATTGAAATTAGCACTTTGCAGGAGGGATGCAAACAATCCCTTCAAGTTTTTCACTTATTACATTCAACTTTTTTTTTACAGTTATCCTGTAGATTTTGAAATTCTGTATCTAATTTAGTAGCAGCTGCTTGGAGAATTGTAGTCAACTCAGTGGCATGAATGTTGTTCAGATTGAAGTCTTTACATATTGCCTCTTTAACCTTGTTTTCTGTAAAGATAACTCTTAATATGCCATGTGCATTGCTGACTTGTTCATGCGGTTTAAGGTGTTCGTTTTTCTTTTTTACTTCATGTTTTATTTGCTTGATTGATAAAGAAGTTTCTTTTTCCTTGTCATATCTTTTCAGTTCTTTTATCTGTAAATCACATAGAAAATACAATTTGAAATTGCAACAACCAGTATACCCCAAAACAGTTACCTTTTATATACTGTATTTAAGGGCTACAGGTAGCATTACATATAAGTAAAAGCCCCATACTGTACTGGATATAAACATTTCACATTTAGCAACCATTTTAAAATCTTGCATGCACAAGGTATGTATAAACACACACACACATATATATATATATATGACAAAAATATGGAAGCACTACATGATTTCCAGGTGTGAAAGTGGCGACATGTTTCCCATTAAAAGCAGGAGTGATGTAACATTCTTTTTCTTCAGTTGTGTGATGAGACACCTAGCTAACAGGTGGGAAGACTATGCTGCTAGTAATACGAAGTCATGTCAGAGCTTACTGTAAATTATTGGGTAAATTGTTAAAGCCTGCCTACCTGGTGTCTCTGTGACTGAAGTTGCCAATTTATATACCGTGTCACGAGGTACAGTATCAAAGGTTATGATACCATATACAGTTTCTGGGAAAATGTCATATGAGAAGCATACGCATGGTAGACATGGTAAACTGAACGACATAAGCAAAACATTCACAGGCGAGCTGCAATTTCCAAACCACTATTGACCAATATTAATGCTCAGAGTAAGAGAGAGTGGTACAACACCCATAAATTGTGGATCGATCAATGGAAGACTAATATAGCCCAATGAATGGAGCATCACACTGTTACCAATCACCAGATGTGTTTATGCGTGGTAAACACCACCCCAAGCTTACAAGACTGTCTTGTTCCAGCGGTTAAGTATGGTGGCGGTGCAATCATGGTTTGGGCAGCAATATCTTAGTATTCTTCAGGCCCTATCATCACACTGAAAGGTAGAGTCACTGACAGTGACTATGTACAAATTTTGGCCAACCATGTGCACCACATGGTGCAGACATTGTTTGCAAAGACAGAGCCATTTACCAAGACAATAATGCTCTTGATTCACACAGCTGATGTTGTCAAATCATGGTTTGATGAGCATGCAAACGGAGTCTCGCACCTTCCCTGGGTCCTGCAGTTGCCGGACCTCAATATCATAGAGCTCAAAAAAGGTTTTTATAATATCATAAAGCCACTATGGTCAATTTTGGAGAAAAAGGTTCGATTTTTCCATGAAAAGTGGTATGAGATTATTATGGGTATTTTATTGTCCACCATCCATGAGTTCTATTTGTCAATTCCTAGGAAAATTCAGGCCATCTTGGCAGCTAACAGTAGCCCAACATCATAGTAGGTAACAATTCATTCTTTTACCTGCTGTTTCCATAATTTTGTCCAACCCCTGTATATAATTTAAGTTCCTAGGGCATACCTTGTATTCCCCGGGGCCTTCTCCCACACTACTCTATGATTTTCAAGGAATACACCCACGTTAACCAGTGCCAACAAGTGTGCAGGCAGTGAAAACCAAATATATTCACAAAACCCACACAATGTGGCATCTCCAATGATACAATAATTTGCAAAAACCAAGATATAAATATGGGTATATATATACACACACAGTGAGGAACAGAAGTATTTGAACACCCTGCGATTTTGCAAGTTCTCCCACTTAGAAATCATGGAGGGGTCTGAAATTCACATTGTAGGTGCATTCCCACTCTGAGAGACGGAATTAAAAAAAAAATTCAGGAAATCACATTGTATGATTTTTTAAATAATTTATTTGTCTTGCACTGCTGAACATAAGTATTTGAACACCTAAGAAACAGCAAGAATTCTGGCTCTCAAAGACCTGTTACTGTGCCTTTAAAAGTCCACCTCTACTCCACTCATTAATCTAACTTAGTAGCACCTGTCTGAGCTCTTTAAAGACACCTGTCCACCCCACAGTCAAACACCAACTACTACCATGGGCAAGACCAAAGAGCTGTCAAAAGACACCAGAGACAAAATTGTGGACCTCCACAAGGCTGGAAAGGGCTACGGGGCAATTGCCAAGCAGCTTGGTGAAAATAGATCAACTGTTGGAGCAATTGTTAGAAAATGGAAGAGGCTAAAGACGATTGTCAGTCTCCCTCAGACTGGGGCTCCATGCAAGATCTCACCTCGTGGGGTATCACTGATGATAAGAAAGGTGAGGAATCAGCCCAGAACTACAAGGGAGGAGCTGGTCAATGACATGAAGAGAGCTGGGACCACAGTTTCAAAGGTCACTGTCGGTAGAACACTACACCGTCATGGTTTCAAATCATGCATTGTACAGAAGGTTCCCCTGCTCGTCATCACATATCCAGGCCCGTCTGAAGTTTGCCAATGACCATCTGGATGATCCAGAGGAGGCATGGGAGAAAGTCATGTGGTCAGATGAGACCAAAGTAGAACTTTTTGGTCTAAACTCACTCGTCGTGTTTGAAGGAAAAAGAAGAGTTGCATCCCAAGAACACCATCCCTACTGTGAAGCATGGGTGTGGTAACATCATGCTTTGGGGGTGGTTTTCTGCGAAGGGGACAGAACGACTGCACTGTATTAAGGAGAGGATGAATGGGGCCATTTATTGTGAGATTTTGAGCAACAACCTCCTTCCCTCAGTCAGAGCATTGAAGATGAGTTGTGGCTGGGTCTTCAAACATGACAACGACCCGAAGCACACAGCCAGGATAACCAAGGATTGGCTCCGTAAGAAGCATATCAAGGTTCTGGAGTGGCCTTGCCAGTCTCCAGACCTAAATCCAATAGAACATCTTTGGAGGGAGCTGAAACTCCGTGTTGCTCAGCGACAGCCCCGAAACCTGACAGATCTAGAGGAGATCTGTGTGGAGGAGTGAGCCAAAATCCCTGTTGCAGTGTGTGCAAACCTGGTCAAGAACTACAGGAAACGTTTGACCTCTGTAATTGCAAACAAATGCTTCTGTACCAAATATTAATACTGTTTTTCTCAGGTGTTCAAAAAGTTATGTTCAGCAGTGCAAGACAAATAAATTCTTTAAAAATCATACAATGTGATTTCCTGAATTGTTTTTTAAATTCTGTCTCTCAGAGTGGGAATGCACCTACAATGTGAATTTCAGACCCCTCCATGATTTCAAAGTGGGAGAACTTGCAAAATCGCAGGCTGTTTAAATACTTCTGTTCCTCACTGTATATATATAAAAACAAACAAAAAAAAAATCCATTCCAGTTACGCTGCTCATGTGCTATATCCACACCAATTAGTGACCCAATAAAAAGGTTCCAATGTACCCCTTAGCTTCACTGCCCTGGATGAAGCTGTCTGGACAGCAACATATGTAGAGTCTTCAGTCAACTGTCCCCATTAAAATTATGTTCATTTGTGACTGGCCTGGGATACACCACCATCACCACCCTTTCGGTTACTCACACATTTAGAGAACTTTTTTTTCACCCGTTTTTGTTTTCCCATCTTTGCATTAATATAAACCTCTTTGGCTATTTGTGGCAACAGTGGGCTATGGTTCTGGGTGTTTACAAGATATATCTTGGTATGGTTACCTTATCCTTTTGTATACAT